AGATTTTCAACAAATCCCGTGACAATGTTCCAGAAGAATCAAACGTTGGTGACCTCATATCAAGCGACATTGTTCCCCACTATTTAATCACTTTCAGTGACTCCCCTGTTCAATCTGACAATTATGTGTTAAATAAAGTCAAATTAATTCTAACTTGGGAATATGAGGACCCAACATTATTTCGTGGGGGAGGATGAACCCAGAAAATTTCAAAATCCGGATATCAACTCCGGATCTTCAAAAAAAAGGGGAGGTGTTGTGGATGCGGAAGAATAGACCAATAATTATCATGTTAAGTCCAGTGGTGTCCTTGGACTTTAAATGTACATTCCCTATTGGCTATTATTTAATTCATTCGTTACATATTGCGTAAATGTTGTTTACTATTTTTATGGTACGATGTGGTATGCTTGACTGGTATATAAACAAAGTATGTTTGAAATATAATGATTCATATCTCCGAGGCTGTGACTTGTGTTCTGGACTCAACTGACTGGGCTAGACAGGGAAGCGAGACCAATAGAGACACTAGGTCGTCCCTACGTGTTTTCCGTGTCACTGTACTGCGATCGATCAATAAATACGCTGCTTATCAAACCCTGCAGTCTCACAACTTAAATTCATAACAAGATATTCATGCACGGCCTAAGAAATCACACCAGACTAGTCTATATACAGAACTATGAGACTACAGTACCCGAAACATCTTTCTACGTAAGCTGTATGTTATCTAAAATAAGCTTCAAGTTGAAATTTGATAGGCAGGTATTTTCGTTTGTTTATCTTTAAAGATAAAAAAATCTTTAAATGACCCTTAGAAATAAAATGTGCTATTAGTATACCCAAGTAAATAGACTATGGAAAATATTCTACATTCTATTAACAAACAGCATACTCCACATTTACTAACATGTTGAAACGATAGCAACTGGAACGTTTATACTTCCGGTCCGTGCTTCATCAACTGTTCCCAGAACTCTCGTGCAACGCTGAGGCACTTTGTTATTCACCAGTGGGTGATGCCGATCCTAACAACCTTCGATGTTACACACGAGATGAATTTTACAATCCACTGATCTGTGGCTTCTTCGAAGACAAGAAAAACATAAGACTTTCTCTTCAGCTTTCGCTCAACTATCATTGACTACTAATGTAGAGAATCGTGAACATTTATCAATTATGTGACTTCGCATATTACACCTAATGGATTGATACCAATTTTATAGAACGACAGCTTTTATGTGAAACAGACTACCTTGCTAAGAATTCGTTTTCACTAATTCTATAGTTCTAATCACAAATTAAAATTTTTAGAGCAACCCACTGTGTCCAACTAAGGTGACTTGGAATTTTAGCTTTTCTTAAAGACATCAGGATTGTGTTCACCGCAGGTAACATTATACCACAGGTTTAAGTTACATCTGATCCTTAAGCTGGGAACAACAATTAAATCTACTACTCTGACGAGTCATATCAGCCTCTTTTATCGATAGATTTACACAAACGAAAAGGTTATGAAACTTAAAAAGACAGTACTCGTATACGAAACACGAGAGTGAGATTATCTAAAAGTAACTACTTTTGTTAATAACCAAAATGTTTGTAAGAAAAACTTCTGTTAGGATGTTTTTATTTAAAACGCACTTGATAGCTTTAGTTACAGGTAAAACAAAATACGAAGATTTGAAAAATACCACCTCCTTCTAAATTTGCTGTGGTTGTTTGACAAGAACAAGGCCAAAAGGTTACTTTTAGTTTGGGCAGTCAAAATCGCAGTTAATCTAACTCCCTTGTGAATATGCTATTTTAAAAAATCGTATCCATGTATTACGTCAACGAGTCTTGCTTCTTGTTTGGTAAAATGATTTACTCCATAAAACATCTCTTGAGGGGAAAACATTTTGGTAGCCTTAGTCAATAGTTGATGACTTGACAACAACTTGTTGTCTTAAGATGTCATGGATATACAGGGCTTGAGAACGATGTTATCTGTGACACCTTTATAATAGATAATCTCAAACCCATCCAAATCAGAAGTCAGAAATTAAGATGTTTGAAGATATGTTTGTAAGACGGTCAATGCGTCGAGAAATATATAATCTCAACCGATTAGTTGTCGTGAGGAATGCGTTGCCCTGAGTACTTGGTTTTGATCTGATTCGGGTGCGTGACCTAGCGCCACTAGCTAAAGTGTATCCAGTAAAACTAGTGAGGTCAGCACTAATGTGAAAGACTTACAGAACTATTTATTTCAGGGATTTATTGACCGTAACATATCCTTTAACAAATGTGGTCGTTTAATAATTGTGTAAAGGGTAACTTGTATTGTCTACCACATTATTTTGCTTTCAGTCATATTTAAAATAAACGGATAAAGAGGAACGAGGGCTGGAATTTGATAACGTGTTTATTTGTCGTTGCTGTTGAAGAAACACCAGCATTGTTTTTAAGACGATGAGTAAGGTAGATTACTAGATGGTCCACAGTACAGAGGTTCTCACTATTGAATAGAACTCTCAAAATGATAAAACATACTACCGGTAATACTGTCAGGAGAAATTGTACAATTTATAGTGAAAGACAACAGCTCCAAGGTTATATCATTACTGCACTGTCGTACAACATGGTTATATGTTTTTCTTTTCGTAGCTTTGATAGATAGTGTAGTTTATAAAGGGAGCTCTATCAAGCATTGACACGGAAGTAAGTTATAAGATGGTGAGTTTATTCAATGGTTGATATATGGTCACCGCCAGAAGTAAGAGCTTTTATATAATTCATCCTTTTTCAAGTGCTTCATTCGAAAACAAAATAATATACTCATTTAGTGGCCTTTCATTTTGACGTCAATTTGATTGGACGACGTTGTCGACGGGCTCACCACTTTTGTGGCCCAATATCTGATTCCAAATAGATCATATGAATGATTGTTGTCAAAATATACATTTTGGCCATCCTCGTATATAATTATCGACTTAACTCGCGTAAGTGAATAATGGAATTAAAATAAGTCAAATATGGAATAGGATTTCAAGTACGTGTATTTTGTACAATAATTGATCCAGGCAGACAATCAATTGAACGAAGCGAAACGAAACGATGCGCCGTGAATACGTGTGAGCCAACTTGATTTAATCAAGCGTTAATCGATATTGATCGTCACACAAAAATAAGTAATGGACATGTGATAAATGAGATAAGATGTACACACATATACGCTCATATAAAAACGGTCAGGTTTGATAAGTGAATAAGTGACAAGGTCAAAATATGATTTGAGAAAAATGAATGAATGAATTGGCCTGTCCAGAAGCTAGAATAAGTTATGTAATAGCCGACACTAAACTCCCACCCAAGTGGTTTGTTAGTTGGCCTATGACTTAAATCACTAGTTTTATATATGAAATGATAGTCATCGCTTAATCGAAAAGATGCATTCAGTATATACATTAGGAAGCGATAGTGTGGACTACCAATATAAAACTAATAACCACCCCTATGAAAATTCGATAGGTCGTTTCGGTATTTAAGAGAATGCAATTTTCCTTAAGGCAGTTAAAATAAACTAATATTTATTATATTCAGAAGAAAAATATCAAGTCCGAAGTATAGAGATTGCAAGAAAGATTGTAGAGGCTTCTAATAAATGATAGGATGTTTCAGGATGATCACTAAATTGATAAGAATCATCATTTGTAAAGGTACAGAATGGGAGTTCTAATCATCAGTACTAGTGTCAGGAAAAATCTCAGCCTCTGTTGCATGAAACATGTTACAGATAAAGTAAACTATACAAATCAAGCTTAATAAGTGGGTGATTACATATTTAGTGATATACTTGGTGAAAAGATCAATTGTAATACATGTTTTAACCTAGTGTTCATTGAACTATTCAAAGGAGGATCTTGTAAAATCTATGCATTTTTTTAAACATATCTAACTTCATAATCAACCGCTTAATTACTTATTCAATTTGCTGGACCATATACTCTACGTTGGTCAAAATAATCGAACGACTCACTTAACAGTTTATTGATCCTCTGAAAGATTTAAAAAATGATACACACCATAAACTATAATATCAATAAGATACTAAACAAATGAATAAATAAATAACTAGTGACGGTCTTTAATAGGTATTTCCTGGAGTTCTAGTGAGACACCGTGGACAGTGGCGCTCAACCAGGTCTGTGGTGAGATAGCAACTCACAGATGACAATAGTGGATGGTGGTGTAATTTCGTGGATTATTTGAAGTTAGACATTAACACCGTTGGATGCCTTAACAGTGGTCTAATGGTTAAGCGCTCGCACTTGAGACTGATATGTCCTAGGTTCGATGTCGTGGATGGGCCCTGGTGAGGAGTCTCACGATAGGACAAAACGGCCTTCCAGTGCTTCCAGGTTCTTCATGGTGGTCTAGCTTCAATTGATTCATGAATTCATCTACTAAAACTGCTATAATATCCACCAAACTCCTCTCTGAAAACAAATATAACTTAGAACAACCATCTTATTTTTATCATTATAGGGGTTTTGCAGATTATTCAGATTTTCATTTAGATCATGAACCGATTGATGTTAGACCATCGTTGGAAACCTGGAAGCAATAGACAGCCATTTCGTCCTATTTTGAGCCGGCATCCAATGGTGTTTGTGTCTAACACCAACCAATCCACGAAATTGCGCGACCTTCTTCCATTGTACTGAGGTAGATATCTGTCTCTACCCGACACGGATTAGATTAACCGGTCATAGCTTCTCACTAGAACTCCGAGAATTCCTTCACGAAGCTAATCACTAGTGAGCACATGGTAATTATCTTGTTTTTTTCTTCCCCTAGTCCAATTAGAGCTATAAACTGGAGAATGAAAAATTGTATCGCACTCGAAATGTAAATGATATTATTATTATTATTATTATTATTATTATTATTATTATTATTATTATTATTATTATTAGTAGTAGTAGTAGTAGTAGTAGTAGTAGTAGTAGTAGTAGTAGTAGTAGTAGTAGTAGTAGTACCTGCATGTGCACTTGTCTTACCTTTGATTAATTTATCTCAGTGTAACATATTTCAACTTCACAAAGGTAATACATGTATATGCATAGTTATATAAGAAAGCCTAATTGCCTTTGAAATAAAAGTATATCAGAAGTTTTTAGAATACATACAGAATTAGGGAGAAAATAATTCAATATTACAAGAAACTACTCATATAATTTAAAGTAGTAACATTGAAATTCCAAAAAAAGTGAATAAAAGAACAAATTGAATATTATTGTTAATAGGGTCTTTTTAACTGGCTTTTTTTTTTGAAATAGTTTTTAATCATTCAATCATTATGAGAATAAATTAAGCAGAACATGGTGTTTTCCATATTAATACAGCGAATCTACCTAAACAAAAATGAAATAATGTATTGGGTTCATAACTAAATCTTCCCAAATGTTGATTAACCGATGTTATAATATGCCATGATTTACCATAACGTGTATCGAAATATTCTTTTAAACGTTGCATAGCTTGATCTAATTTCTCCATATCAATATTTGTTTTACGACCAGATTCACGTAGATCATCAATAAATAATTCCATAACTTTAACTTTCATTTCTAAATCCATATCATCGTATATCGTTTCTAAATCTCGTGGCATTAATTGTTCTAATAATACTGTTGTACGTCGTCTTCGTATTTCGCGCCTTTTTTTTGGGGGGGGATAATAATAAAAATAAAAAACTGATCAATGGTAGAAAGATAAATTTAAAAATTCAACGTTTCTTTTTATATGATGAGTGATGAAATCCAAATGCCTTCGTATCCTTCACACAAAGAAGTGATATTCTGAATTGAATAATTTAGTAAATAATGTGTGGTTTTTTGAAGCTTATAAGCATTAACATGTAGGCATATTCTACTGACAAGTTATAAATACAATGAAATATGCATCGTGGTTTCTAATTATCTACTTACTAACTTTACTTACGCCTGTTACTCCTCGTAGAGGAGCGTAGGCCGCTCATCAGCATTCTCCACTTAACTCTGTCCTTGACAATCCTTTCCAATTGTTTCCAGTTGCTATTCATCTTTTTGATATTTGATTCCAATTCCCGATGCAATGTGTTTCTTGGTCTTCTTCCTTTTTTGTTTCCCTTCTGGATTATAAGTTAGCGCTTGCTTCGTGATGCAGTTTGATGATTTCCATAATATATTTTCTACCCACCTCCATCGTGTTTTCTTAATTTCTTCTTCAGTTGGATGATGATTTGTTCTCTTTCATAACAGACTGTGACTAATGGTATCCGGCGAATGGATGTTGAATATCTTGCGTAGACAACTATTTATAAATACTTGTATCTTCATGATGATGGTTGTAGTAGTTCTCCTAGTTTCAGCTCCGTACAGTAGAACTGACTGTCTTGATGTTCGTATTGAAGGTTTTGACTTTGATATTGGTTGAAGGTTAATTTGAGTTCCATATATTTTAATCGATTGTAGGAATGCGGCCCTTGTTTTGCCAATCCTCACCTCTACGTCTGCATCTGTTCCTCTTTTTTCATCGATGATGATTATCTGGTAATTGAAGGATTCTACATCTTCCAGAGTTTCGCCATCAAGAGTGATTGGATTGCTGTTCCCCGTGTTGTACTTGAGGACCTTGGTTTTCTCCTTGTGTATGTTGAGGCCTACTGATGCAGAGACTGCTGCTGAAGTGGTTGTCTTTACCTGCATTTGTTCATGTGTATGCGATAGAAGGACCAGGTCATCTGCGAAGTCCAAATCGTCTAATTGATTCTGAGCTGTCCATTGTATTCCGTGTTTTCCTTCAGATGCCGAGGTCTTCATATTCCAGTCGACCACCAGAAGAAAGAGGAGGGGAGAGAGTAAACAGCCTTGTCTGACTCCGGTCCTTACTTGGAATGCATCTGTCAGCTGTCCTCCTTGCATGACCTTGCAGTGTAGTCCGTCGTATGAGTTCTCAATAATGTTGACAATCTTCTCAGGAACTCTGTAGTGTCGAAGAAGTTTCCATAACATTCTCTTATCTGCACTGTCAAACTCCTTTTCATAATCAATGAAGTTGATGTATAATGACGAGTTCCACTTAACTGATTGTTCGACGATGATCCGTAGTGTTGCGATTTGGTCTGTGCACGACTGATCCTTACGGAATCCAGCTTGTTGATCTCGGAGTTGGGCGTCTACCGAGTCTTTCATCCGGTCCAGCAACACTCTGTTGAAAACCTTTCCTGGTACTGATAGTAGTGTGATGCCTCTGTAGTTTTCACATACATTATAGATCATGCATTATGTCTGTCGACATAAGTAGCATACAGCACAATCTAACTTTAATGAAGATTATTTCTATATATTAAATTTATTGATGCCTCTGAAAAATTGATATACTCTACATGCTATTCATAGTTTTAATTCTTATTAATTTTACAATAGCCTAGATAATAAACGAGTATTTGATTGAGATCATGAATCGGTAGATTTTAGATCACCACCACTGAAGATTCTTATTCTAGGATGAAACGGCCGTCCAGTGTTTTCAGGTTTTCAATGGTGGTCTAACATCCATCGATTCATGATCTCAATCAAAAACTTAAAAATCTTCACAATCCCATACAGATAAACGAGTATTTAGTAACATTAATTATATTGATCAATTTTTAATTTACTTGAATGGATTTAGCACATGTGAGTTGGCTGGCAACAAAGATAAGGATTCAATTCCGGAATATACTTCTAGAAAGCAGTATGAATCGAAGTTCCCTCAAAACAAAATTTTGAAATGCATCTTATATTTTATGCATTCAAGTGCACGTTATAGTCATTTTATTTTATTAGTATTCCTACATTTGAATAACGAGAAATCAACATGAGTGATACAAAATAACAAAGATTGCAGTGGTTAGGAGTAAGTTGCATAATACCTCATAAAATTAGGATCATGAATGATGATGATGATGAAGAAGAAGAAGAGGAAGAAGAAGAGGAAGAAGAAGAAGAGGAAGAAGAAGAAGAAGAAGAAGAAGAAGAAGAAGATGATGATGATGATGATGATGATGATGATGATGATGATGATGATGATGATGATGATGATGATGATGATGATGATGATGATGATGATGATGATGATGATGATGATGATGATGATGATGATGATGATGATGATGATGATGATGATGATGATGATGATGATGATGATGATGATGATGATGATGATGATGATGATGATGATGATGATGATGATGATGATGATGATGATGATGATGATGATGATGATGATGATGATGATGATGATGATGATGATGATGATGATGATGATGATGATGATGATGATGATGATGATGATGATGATGATGATGATGATGATGATGATGATGATGATGATGATGATGATGATGATGATGATGATGATGATGATGATGATGATGATGATGATGATGATGATGATGATGATGATGATGATGATGATGATGATGATGATGATGATGATGATGATGATGATGATGATGATGATGATGATGATGATGATGATGATGATGATGATGATGATGATGATGATGATGATGATGATGATGATGATGATGATGATGATGATGATGATGATGATGATGATGATGATGATGATGATGATGATGATGATGATGATGATGATGATGATGATGATGATGATGATGATGATGATGATGATGGTAATTTTCTTTCTATACAGCGAGGAATACCAAATCAACCAAATCCAGTTTAATATACAACAATTTATTTGCTTTGTTTTAAAAAAAACTTACGCTTGTTTTGGAACAAGACCTAATGCTTTACAATATTGTTCTAATGTTATAACACCAGTTTTCTCAGCATCAAACCGACGAAGAAATGTCTAAAAAAATTTGTATGAGAAGTCTAATTATACATATATTCAAAATGATAGATATCATATAGAAGGGCGCCAATAATGTCTTTCAGAACGATAATAGTACATAGTACATAAGACTATTGAAAAATACTCTGTTGCATTCTACATCTATTGGTACTACTTTGTTTGTCTGTAAGTTAGTACTGGATTGTGATTTCTGAAGTAATTCATTTATAGAAGTATTGATAATCAGGCAAAATCATTGGCCCTAACATTACGGGTGTGAGTAAATGAATATGTAGTTATTAAATGATACTGCTCGCTTATCAATAAAATTGACAGAGACTATTACGTGCTCCATCTCATCTCATATAAACCAAGCCAATCTAGTTTGAAATATTTATCAAAAAAAAACTTGAAAGATAATGCATTTTTACTGTTGATGATAATGTCGTTCAGAAGAACGATAAAAGCTCCACGGCCAAACCATCCAGCTTAGAGAACAAAAATCCATCAGAATCATCCACCTGAGCTACAAATCTTCTCCAGCATTTTTACTGTTGATTGATTAAATAAAGTGTCCTTGGTTTTAGTGTCTCTTACTGTTAATTTGTGAGAGTGTAAGATAATACAAAACACTGTATATTTGAAAGTTTGTCTTCGTTGACGACTTTCAAGACACTTTCAGAATCTTTTTTCAGTTTAGTATATAAGTTTATTTTATTATCAATACCACGCAATGATCATAGTTAAACAACTATGAAAAACCAGGATGATCTGGACAGATATTTTATTTTAGTATAGGACTTCCCAACAATCCATATCCAGAATCCTACTAAAGATCGAAGCCATGACCTTTAGGTTTTACGGTAAGTAATTAGCCTTTAGATCAGCAAGTCACCACTCAGCGGTCTATACATGTAACTTTAATTGATATACGACGTTTCACAACCTGATTTTATAGGTAAGTAACTGCTTCGTACTGAACATGGTAACCAGAGGAGTACAATTATGTTATCTAGCTCTAAGATTAATCAAATACAGAAATAACTAACTACTGATTATGACAATAAGTAGTACATACAATTCTAAATTTTACGCAAGATAATAATAGGAATTGAAATTACCAACTGTAAATACATCATTTATACTTACTTCTGGAAAACTATCTTGTAGACCATGTTTTTTATTATATGAACTTAAATCATTTAATGATATCACTTCACGATTATCTGTATCCAAAGCGAAAAAAGCGTCCAAAAATGAGTCCATCTTTAGAAAAACAAAAGAATGGAAAATGAATGACACAACAAAATGATTTGATAATTTAATTAGTTTCGTTATCCGCTATTTGTCTTAATCATAATTGAAAAAAAAATCAAATGAAATTAGAAGTCCATAGTTGAATTCATGAGTCAATTAAAGTTAGACTACCATGGAAAACTTAGAAGTACTGGACGGGTGTTTTGTCCTAGTACAATACTCCTCAGCAGTGCATATCTGGGTTTTCCATAGTAGTCTAGTTTTAATCAACTCATGAATTCAACTATTAAAAATTACAACAATATCCACAAAACCCTGAAAATGATCATCATGTGCTCACTAATGACTGGCTCCAAGAGGTATTTCATGGAATTCTAGTAAGAAGCAGTGACAAGTGGAGTTCGACCATGTCCGCTGTGTAGTAGTTACTCACAGAAGACAATAATGGGCGGTGGCTCAATTTCGTGGATTAGTTGAAGGTAGAAATTAACGCCGTTGAATACTGGCTGGCTTCGTGGTCCTGGGTTCGAATCCTACCGTGCGAGATTTTGGGCGCGCACTGCTGTATCGTCTCACAATAGGAAGAAACGGCCGTCCAGTGCTTCCAGGTTTTCCATGGTGATCTGGGTTTAATTAACTCAGAAATTCAATACTACCGATCTGGACGACTATTTATAGGCTTTCGTGAAAAAATCTCCCGGAGCTGATTTTAGCCAATCTGAATTGGAAAATACTGTTCATTAAGAAATATGACAGCCATCTTACAATCAATAATCTATAGATATAGGTGAATAGTATTGTGATGTATGCTACTTATGTTTGTCGACATAAGTAATATGTAACAATAATCAAAAGTGGAAAACTTGGCAGCAGAATGCTAAGAAAATGAAGTTGAAGAAAACAGAAAAGGAAATAGAAAGGAATTGTGAATCAGAAGAATCATACAGAATGTGAAGGACAGTTGATGAAATATTTTCAAATGAGTTATTTAATGTCTGGTTTTCACATTTTACCAAAGAGCTATATATATATATATATATGACTTAGTCGTGAAGCTTTCATTGTCCTTCTAGAAAACGTCATCATTAGATACTTTATAGAGATATGAACTAACAGAATTTCTCCTGCTGACATGAAATCTGAATGATCGTTATTTCTGACTTTACATCCTGGATAACACAACACCTCTAAAATATTCCTACCTGAACTGCAAATATTCTTAACCACTTCAAAAGCATAATTTGCATCGCAATTTGACTTCAGTCAGATACCTTGCCAAAAATTAAGAAACACTGATCAGCTGCTTCGTCTTGGTTGAGCACTCTTCAGCCAGTCGACTGCAGCGTAGGACCAGACACATATATGCATCGGTCCAGGTTGCCATACCTCATTAACACAACAAGATAAACACCGAATTCATAAAAGTAGTTACTTCAATGGTAGTAATATATAAAAGAAAGATTGTGTATATGGATATAATACACGGAGAAAGAATTAGTTCGTAGAAATAAATGTATGAATTAATTTTGTTCTCATGGTTTAAAAGAAGACAAAGAAAGTATACATCGACTACATTGTGATTGATTGTGAACAATGTCATCCAGAGTCTCCGACCATCGATTACCATAGTCACACAGACCCCAACCAAGTAATCTGCATCTACTAACACGGCTTAGACTAGAAGTTAATGACTTTATGAACTGATGCCACGTTTTGATTTGAGCACTCCTCAATAGTACTCTTTCACATGATCCAAAAACATAGTTTTGTTGATCAGTGTAAATGATAGCTAATCTTATATGAAAAAACAGTCAACCAGCTAAAACTTATTGTTGATTATTTAGTTACTTAGGGTATACAACAAAGCTAGTAAGATTATATGTGCTACAATTAACAAATATAACTGATTTACTAAATTACATAAATGATTCCTTCACTAACCTAAACATTAATCATAATCATTCATTATGACATATATGTAAATCTAAGAAAACTTATGTTTCCAAATTGAATTGAACTTATGTATTATGCAAATTACTACTGAATGTTTAGGGTAGTAAAATACAATAACGACAACAACAACAAATATATGATGTCATAGATGTTCTTATAGAAGGAGATCGGCCAATATTTAATAAAACATCTCGTTTGATTGAATATAGTTATATATTCACTATCCAATATGACCCCTATTCAATTACATCACTTCGTATACATAAAATCTGGGGAGTAAAGTCAGTAAAATTGGTGATTTACACATTTTTATTTTGATTTATTACTCAATTCTTATCAGAAGGAGTTTTGTGGAGATTGTAGTAATTTTAATAGTTGATATCATGAGTCAATTGAAGCTAGATCACCATAGAAAACCTGGAAGCAATGAACGGCCACCTCGTCCTAGTATGAGACTCCTCAGTAGTGAGCATCCACGATCTCGCACAGTAGGATTCGAACGCTTAACCTCTAGACCACTGAGCCAGTCGACATTTAACGGTATTAATGCTTAACTTTAACTAATCCACGAAGTTGAATGGGCACCGCTGAAGAGTTCAGCACTTGGACGAAACGGCCGTCCAGTGCTTCCAGGTTTTCCATGGCGATGTAGCTTCAACTGAATCATGATTTCAACTATTAAAATCACTCAATTATTAATTAGTAATATGTAAATATGTATGTAACTAAATATTGAATGATCAATACAATCGAAAAAAAACAGATTTAATCAGTGAATAGAATATTTTATTGCAAACTATGAAATGAAATTCACTTTGATCTCATACAGTGTGCACAGTGTGCCAAATCAGTAACTTAGCAACGTTACTACAACTACTACCACATTACTAGTAGTAGTATTAAGGTTATACTATTAGTAGTATTGATATGTATCCTAAAATATCGTTGAATTATGCTAATTATTATCATTTTCACAATAATCTTATTTAAACTTTTTGATTATTGCAGCTAAACGAACAGTCGTAAAGGTGGATATGGTGATTTAATAAAGTAAAGCGCAAATAAATCTGCTAACTGGTTAAAGTTAGTTAACAGCAAATGGTGGACATAGGTTACTTAATATTTAACACTCAAAATTGACAGTGAGCTATTCCGGTCGCCACCGACCTCCTGTATTACTGAGATAATCCAAAGTTGCTTGGTCGCTGCTTAGTGACCTGTGTAATATTTCCCTAATACTTTCAGTATTGATCGAATTCTATAGATTGAACTGCAATGTGTCGACTAGTCTAAATGATTCAGCATCGTGTGGACTATGATGAGATACTAGGTAGTTGAAATTGACTGACAGGAAAATCCATACATAGATTTTAAGCTAGTTACTTAGTAGAGATTAGTAAGAAGGATCAGACTGGTAGCTACTTGGTGATTAGTTTGTTTTAATAGATTCTTGTTGTTTGTTTCTACATACGATATGAGATTCATGCGGCATAGACTATAATTTGAAGTTAGTGTGCACAAAAGGCCCTATAGACTTCATTTGTATTCAGTGGGTTATAATATAAATAATTCTTGAAGTCTAACATCCTTTTAACACTAGTGAAGTATCAATAATCTACAATATTTTAAGTTTTCTTTTCTATTATTATTCTGAAGAGCATATATTACTTGATATTTAGAACTGACTTTAATCAGTTTTTGTTGACGTTCATGTTTTTTTAGCAGATACTACGAATCCTCCGGTAGTGAACTCCAGGAGGTATATCCGGTCCTGTTTCAGGCTCTTCAAGAATGAGATTCAATTACTTCCAGGTGATAAATTCTCAATAATAAGAGATTACTGTTTTGGATTTCATTGTAAGTCATTATCTAAAACTATCATAATTTGTCTCACGTTATATGTTTTCTAAAAACTGAAAGGATAATTGCTTATATAGTCTTTTGCTTGATTAACGTATGATCAAGAGGTTAAGCGCTCATGTGCGAGACTGATAGATCCTGGGTTTGAATCTCGCAAGGCAGGATCGTGGTTGCGCAATACTGAGGAGCCCTAAAATAGGACGAAACGGTCATCCAGTGCTTCCAGGTTTTCCATGGTGGTCTGGCTTCAATTGACTCATGATCTCAACCATTCTTATAATTACATTTTAGCTTTTGCTAAGCATATACTAATCTAACTTTAACATTATTCATTGGTTCATATTCAATGTTTACCTTGGACCACATACTGTTTTGACCTCAAAGACCATTCACTAAACTTAATAGCCTAATTTTTATGTTGTTTTTTTTCGTAACCGACTTTAATTTAATCAATGTGAATTAATTTATACAATTAAATATTTACTACTTTGAGTGCGGTAAAAGTTCATAGTTCAATACTGAAACTAATCAACCAATTAGAGATTAGAAATTAACACCGTTGAATACCAGCTCGCTCAGTGATTTGGTGGTTAAGTGCTCAAGCGCGAGATCATTAGGTTCTAGGTTCTAATCTCGCGAGCAGGATCGTGAGTGCGCACTGCCGAGGAGTCCCACAGTGGGAAGAAACGGCCGTCCAGTGCTTCCAGTTTTTTAGTGGTGGTCTAACATCAATCGGTTCATGATCTCAATCAGCACTTAACAATCTTCATAACCCCTATACTCATAATGAAAACATCAAATCTAATTATTAACTTTAACATCGTTCAATTATAAATCCTAATCCTAATTCATTCACACTAATCCATAACCTTCATTTAACCCTGGTAAGTAGGTAGACATTCCAAGATCATTGTAGCATTTCTCAAAGATCATTCACCAATCAAACTAATGAATGAAATGATTTAATTATCATCATTTAGCACTACATTAATGTAATTTCACCGATTGAAATCATGAGTCAATTGAAGCTAAACCACCATGGAAAACTTGGAAGCACTGGACAGCTGACCGTTTCGTCCTAATATGGGACTCCTCAACAATGCACACCTACGATCTCGCCTCACGATATTCGAACTTAAGACTTATCAGTCTTGCACCAGGCGCTTAACCAACTAGACCACTGAGTCGGTATCCAACGGTGTTAACGTCTAACTTCAACCAATCCACAAAAACCATTCTGATAATATTAATGTAATGTATATTTAAAACTTAAACATATTTGATATAGATATATACATAAATAAGATAAAAACTTACTTGATCAGTAATTAGTTCTCCTTATATTCTTAAGTCAACTTTACTAGTACAGTATAACTTCTCCCTGAAGTTCGACTATTTATATATATATATATGACAAAATATGATATGAATGAAAAGTTCATTATACTTTATAAAAGTTATTCTATTAATTCTTTTTATTATCTTCCATTCAATTGTAATATCTATTCTTTCATTATAAAGTACATCAAACTATCAACTGATCAGTTATTTCTATTATTCATCACTACTAAACAAATAGTTTGATATATAATGGTAATAAAAATAGTTCCTATCAGAAATCATTATAAATTTCCCTTAGATTTATTTATAAATAATAATAATAATAACAATAGCAACAATAATAATAGTAATACTAATACTACTACTACTAATAATAGTAATAATAATAATGGTAATAATAGTAGTAATAATAGTAATAGTAATAATAATAATGGTAATAATAGTAGTAATAATAGTAGTAGTAATAATAATAATGGTGAGAATAATAGTAATAATAATAATAATAGTAATAATAATGAATAAAGTGGTCTAATGTGTTCTATTAGTTAATAAACCAATCTCTTTTCTTAAGGACAATTTTAATTTTATTACTGTGATTATAAACTGATTTGTTGACTTGGTGAAAGAGATTAAAAGTTTAAATGTTCACTATTTAATGGTTTTTAATATAAAAAAAAAGAATTCATTAGTTTTATAAGCAAAGATGAATAGTGGCTAGTAGTGGAATTAAAGACTTGCTTTTCATCCTGTTTACGACTCGTCAGCTGGATATACCTGATTATAAAGTTTGTCACCTAAGGCAATTCTGAGACAATCCACACAGGATGCACATATACCAATAAGAGACTTATCAACTGCAGTTTTAAATAACAATGGGAAGATACAAGTAAAACAACACAAAATGAATTTAAAACTTCACCCAATTGCACAAGTAGGTGGCTATCAGGAATCAGTAGCTAAGTGAATAACGTGATGGTGTTTGAAGTGAACGGTACTGGGTTCGAGTCCCAGAGTGGACATTAACTCCGAAATGCAGGTACATCCAGCAGACGAGTCCCAAATAGGACGAAACGCCCATTCTCGATTCCACTGCTAGCCACTATCCATCTTTCTATATTCAACAGTTTAATGGTTAGATTAGATCAAGATTTCAAAGTTAAGGCATGATCTAATTGATTAGTGGATTACAATCGGTAAATCCTACTCAATGATTACAATAAAACCATCATTTTGAACCTCTGGGCTATATTGATTAGTTATTTTAATTGGAGACTTATACTATGATACTCATTAATTTATTACCAATATGTAATATCTAAGAGATATCTACTTGTACATATGTTTTTGAGAATAATCCTGTTATCAAATTTTTCATAAACAAACGTTTCAAAACGAATCCTATCATTCATGGATGTGTTAAGGATAAACTCCAACTTTAGGCCATATCGATGTGCATCTATAAATTTACTTGCTCTTATGGGGCATGGCTTTTCAAAGGAGAATTTAAAACAACTACTAGTTCTATACAGGAGCATTTAATCAATTGTGGACACATTGCTCCAAAGGAATTGGATCGATGGGAAGTCGAAACAATATTTTATGCATTACTGAGGCATTGGCGATCCACATATTCAAACCAGAACTTTACGTGCAAAAACGATTCTTCCAACCTCTCGTCCTTCATTCACCCTAATTCCCTTATGCAGTATGTTTCGTTTATTTTACCTTTATTATTATTGATGTTCTAAATTATTGTTTTGTAATTTTAAACTGTAATTGGTGACTATTGCCCTTTAAACAAGTTTTCTTGATTGTTATTCTGTTTCAACAGTTGAGATCATGAGTCAACTGAAGCTAGACCACCATGGAAAACCTGGAAGCACTGAACGGCCATTTCATCCTATTGTGGGACTCCTCAGCAGTGCGCATCCACGACCCAGGACCTATCAGTCGAATCCCGCGAGGCGAGGTCGTGAATGTGCGCTACTGATGAGCCCCACAATAGGGCGAAACCACCTTTCAGTACTTCCAGGTTTTCTATGGCGGTCTAACTTCCATTGACTAATAAATTCAACGATTAAATTATTACGAATTCTTGTTGAAAGTAAATTAATTTATAAAAGAAACCACAATACTGTTTTGTTTAAAAATTCCAAGAATTCGATTATGTAGACAATTTATGAAGGACTCTGATCAATTTGACGATAATACTCACTGATAAATCAATACCATTCATTTAATGAATTCAATAGAAAACAGTATTCACTTAGGTTCAACGATCGAAAAATCTCAATTTTAAATCTTACACAGTTTATTAATCACCATGGTACCAATAATTCACAAAAATGTTCCAAATTGTTTGCAATATGAGAACAGAAATAAAAAGGTGTATTTTTTTTATCGATTAATAATCGAATATGCGAAATAAATAGTAGAAAAACGTTTTTGTTGTTGGTTGATATTCATATTTATATATCAACGAATAGGTTGTGTTATGTTGCTGTTTAGTTTCACGTTATCAATTGAATCCTGTTGAATAAGCCAATTGAAAAGAGTAAGAACAAAGATTCCAAACAGAATACCATGAATTCATTTTTATTTCGTCTAGTTCTCATCAATTGCTTACAATCTGTGATAGTTAAAAATCATAATTATACATATAATGGGTTTCAGATGACTTTCATGAGAGGGTTTGGTTGTAAGTTATCGTGAAAACATATTCTACATTGTTTAACATTATATTACGTAATGTTTCAAGAAGAAAATCATAACAACAAAGTTGCTCATTTACAGAAAATGTATTTTGAAATCGGTTGAAGTTAGACATTAACACCGTTGGATGCCGGCTTAGTGGTCTAGTTGGTTAAGCGCCTGGCACGAGACTGATAAGTCTTGGGTTCGGATCCCACTGGGTGTGGGATCGTGGATGCGCACTGCTGAGGAGTTCCATACTAGGACGAAACGGCCAGTTGTCCAGTGCTTCCAGGTTTCCCATGGTGGTTTAGCTTCAATTGACTCATGATTTCAACCAGTGAAAACATATTCGTATAATATAGCAAGGGGGTATATAAATTGAATATATTGAATATTGTAAATATATACCATATGTGAAAGAACATTCTACAACATTGATTGTGACAACAGTTCAAACAGCTAGAAACAAGTGATTACATAATGAGTAAACATTGATAAGAATATAGTGAGTAGAGTTCAGTTGATAAAATAAGATTATTAATTTGGAAAATAGTTGAAATAAAACTTAGTAATGAAATAAATGCAAGAAAGAGTTAAAAAGAATGATTAACGGAACTATGAATATGAACAAGCAAATTCATAGAATTTATGGTAGATAACACTTAACAATTAGAAATTCAAAGTGATCTATAAGAAGTATTATTTTATTTGTGTTTAATATTGTTTTACATTTGTTAATCAGAGTTCCATTCTATTTTATACAAACTTCTTTAAAGATTCTACTGATTCTTCATAGGACAGAGTGGATTGGTGAATGTTAGTCGGCGGCCTATACTCCATTGGGAGTAACTAGCGTAAGTAAGTAAGTAATGACTCTAGCTAACAGTGAGGTTAAACATCATCAATAGATTCATGACTAACTAAACTTACATACTAAACAAACTATGAATGGAACCCTAATTAAGAAAACAGGAACTACTATTAATTCCAAATTCTTTTACAGTTCTCCCAAATCCAAATCCAATATAACATTGAATTTTTTTCAAAAAGTATATCACTTACAAATAAATTAAGATTCATTCATTCTTTTACTTACCGCTTTACCTCCTCTATTGACTAATGAAGGTCCTATTAAATTATGAGGTTGTGGTCCACTTGTCATTCTTTTTCTTTTTGCAATTCAACTTATTACTGTATAATTGTTAACTGATAACAATGAATAAAGATAATTAAAATGTAAATATTCGATAGACTACTATTATAGATAATAATTTAATTTTTATCACCATATCTCATTGGTTATTTTGTCAACTTATCAATGATTGGCTCATCTTTATTTATTATTCCGTATGTTTGACAAATTTATAAATACAAAGTTGCGCCATCGTACACCATTGTCTTCAGTGAGTTGATATCTCACAACAGACCTGGTTGAACTCCACTAGTAACGGCTTCTCACCAGAACTCCAGGAGTATCTCTTGAAGTCAGTTACTAGTGAGCAGATGATTATTATAAGAAGGGGTTTTGTGGAGATTTTAGAAATTTCACTGATTAAAATCATGATTCAATTGAAGCTAGACCACCATGGAAAACCTGGAAACACTCGACAGCCAGCTGTGTCGTCCCAGTAAGGGATTCCTCAGCAGCGCCCGTCCACGATCCCGCCCACGGGAGATTCGAGCCCAGGTCCTATCAGTCACGCACCTAAGCATTATACCACTGAGGCGGCATCGTGGATGCGCAGTGCTGAGGAGTCCCTTACTGGGACGACACAGCTGGCTGTCGAGTGCTTTCAGGTTTTCAATGGTGGTCTAGCTTCAATTGACTCATGATTTCAATCAGTGAAATTTCTACAATCTCCACAAAACCCCTTCTGAATATTTGTAAATAGTTGAATTCACAAGTCGATTAAAGCTAGATCAATTTTTTTAAAAGTGAAAAGTACTGGACAGCCGTTTTGTTTTGGTATGGGACTCCATAACAGTTATCATTCATGATCTTGCTCGTGGAATTCGAACCCAGGTAGTGACTCACTGAAAACAATGGTTGATGGTGGTACAATTTCGTGAATTGGTTGAAGTTAGACATTAAAACCGTTAGATGCCGGCTGGCTCAGTGGTCCGGAGGTTAGGCGCTCGTGTATTAGACCGATAGGTCCTGGGTCTGAATCCCGCGAGCGGGATCATTGATACGCACTGATGAGGAGTCGCACAGTAGGACGAAACGGCCGTCTAGTGCTTTCATGTTTTCCATGGTGTTCTAGCTTCAACCAACCCATGATTCCAACTATTAAAAGCTTACTATATGATCCACAAAACCCCCGTTCTGAAAATTTACAAATAATCTTTTTTAAACAAGTGTTCATAGGTAAATCATATGGTCTGCCCACTAATTAGTCTAAAGTTTCAAATTACCCATCATACAATTGTAAATAGTGAATAATGCGCAAAAACTTTCATTTCATAACCTGTATGTTATACTCAAAAATATCTGTAATCACCATGAAATAATTAACATTGATATTAGGCTGATGTTAAACTGAGATTCTGTTTATATTCAGTGAGCCAATAGTTGCATAGATGAATCGTTACACATTAATAAAGCTTGTAATAATCATTTATATGGCGTACTCAGTAGCTAAGTGGATAATGCAATGACGTTTGGAACGAACGGTACTGGGTTCGAGTCTCTGAGTGAATATCAACTCTGGGATGTAGGTACATCCAGCTGACAAGTTCCAAATAGGACGAAACGCACTTCCTGGGTTTTAATGGCGTACATTAATAACCAAACATTTAGAACCTTAAAGAGATTCAAGTATAAGTCTTGGGTTTTTAAGTAAAACATACACCTAGAATTATTTGTACTTTATTATATTGGGAGGTAAAACATTTGAATCATAGACCTTCATGGAAAAGAAACTAAAAATCGAAGTTGATTATCTAATATCACATGTCTGATTTTCATTTCCTCTTGATGACTAGCTGATATGCTTGAACGCTATTACGAGTTCACCTTACTCGGTAAATGGAACGAAGGTCAAAGATACAGTGACACGACAGGCTATTCTAATCCGTTGTCCCTGGCCCTGCTAACTAAATCAAGAAGTCTTGATGAGGCGTAGAGAATGTATTTTACAAGCATCCAGAATATACGAAATCACTAAGCACACAAATCAAGCTTATTTATACAATGATAAAAACGCCCTTGGGAGAACTACAAAATAGCGTACTAAAAAAATCCGTCAACCAATGCAGTTCAAATAAGCGTGAAAATATAAACTTCAAATTTTCAGAATAAAATTACAGAATTAGGACCTTTTCCAAGTGAGTTCTGAGGATTTAACATTCTCAACACTAGCACATATTCTGATCTTTTGTTTGAATCTAGATCAACTCTCTCCAACTCAAATTATTTTAAAGATTTTTAAAGGAAGTTCAACTATAATCTTTGTAAACTGACCTTACACTAAATTTTATATAAATCTCAAATGGCTAACCTTAAACATGAAAAGTAATTTTGAATACAATAACAAGTGACCTTACTTTAATTATCTTAATAATTCTGTCTCAATGAAATCATATCATCTTTCAATAGTTTCGACGTAAGCTTACTCTCTGAAACTCTCATCATATTGACCCTGTTATTTCAATATCCAAGCTTTTTCTATGTATCTTAGTATAAATCAAAGTTTACTTATTTATTCTTCAATAAAATCAATTCACACTTTGTACTATTGTGTACTTTCTTTTCCTTTTGGTCTATAGAAAAAGAAAAGGAGACTATGTTGTTTTTCACGTGCCTCTAACTAAAAGTTTTCGTAACGGTTGACACTTTAAATCTTTGAAAAAAACTTTTCAGGAAGAATTGTTTGGTGAAACATAAGCTATCTAATCCATCGATGATTTCATTGTTATTTATAGGCTTATTGATTAAGGAATAAGGAAGAATTTCACGAAAATGATTCGTTTTACCTAATACATATATTTACGCCTGCTACACCTCGTGGAGGAGCATAGGCCGCCTACAAGCATTTCCATTCAACTCTATCCTGGACAATCCTTTCCAGTTCTTCCCAGTGGTTATTCATCCTGTAGTGACCTACTTTTATCAAGAGAACGCGATTGGTGTAATGGAAACAATTATTATTATAGCCAATTGTACCAGGGATTGTTTAACCGTACTTGTTTGTTTAACTGTACCAGAATACATACTTTCTTTCGTTGATTGTGACCTTGCACAAATTTGGTTGCGCTCAGTAACCACACATGTAACCCGGCACGATCTCGGTATTCTTTCAATATCACGAGATCGCCAGCAAATACATCTCGACTACAGCCATCAACTGCCTTCTGATATTTTGCTTACGGGGGATATTATCGGTCAACTGGCACATAGTCTTCCTGTAGTGGTGCTCATAGTCAACCGCGACTTGACGCCACACTACAATCCTTTTGATGTATGCTTTCAATTTCTGATGCAGTGTATTCTTTGGTCTTTCTCTTTTCCTTTTGTCATCAAGATCCCAAGTAAGCGCTTCCCTTGTGACATATATATACATAACGTGTGAGCACGTGTTTGAAGAAAAGATTGGTAAGGTAAAATCAAACCAAATCAATAACTGGCAATTACTGTTATGAAAATGTCTTTTAATAAACAGCATTTGAAATGTTCCTTATATTCTATATTTATATCCAAGATTCTCTTACTATTTTAAATAAGCAATAATGAATCTAGTAATCATTCAATAGAATAAAGACAATGAAGGAAAACTTTCTTTCAGACATTATGATTTACTAATGATGTTCATTTATTTTTCTTTAACCCCTCCCACCCTTTCTTTTTCTTAAATATACGCTTCATTGTCCAGTTATCTTATTACGTAATCTTGTAATTTCTATGATTGTTATCAATGTTTCAGTGTCTACATTTTTCTAATCATTGACCATTACGAAACATTGATTCAAGCCCTTATTATACTTATCACAAGTAGTACACTTTTCATCACACTACCGATTTATACTTTTCACTTATTATATTTAGTTATGTAATCTATTCCACTGTTATCATTAACTCATAAACTACCTTGATTGGTTTAATAGTTTCGTATATGCAAAAAAATATTACAGTATATTAGAGTAAAGCCTGATGAGGATCTAATCGAAAACAGTATTGTTCGTTTATATATGTTGTTCTAAACAAACATTGTGAAGTAAACAAGCAAGTGAAAAGGAGAATTAGAACTGACAAACGTAAATATGTGGAAGATTTAGCAACGACGGCGGAAAAGGCTGCAAGAGAAGGAAACATGAGACAACTGTATGACACGACAAAGAAACTCTCTGGAAATCACCGTAAACCAGAACGACCAGTGAAAAGCAAGGAAGCCAAGATAATCACCAACATTGAAGAGCAACAAAACAGATGGGTAGAACACTTCAAAGAACTCTTGAATCGATCAGCCCCACTGAACCCACCCAATATCGAAGCAGCACCCACGGACCTCCCAATCAATGTTGGCCCACCAACAATTGAAGAAATCAGCATGGCCATCAGACAAATCAAGAGTGGAAAAGCAGCAGGACCGGACAACATCCTAGCAGAGGCACTAAAAGCAGAAGTAGAGGCAACTGCAAGGATACTCCACATTCTCTTCAATAAGATTTGGGATGAGGAACAAGTACCAAAAGACTGGAAAGAAGGACTTCTGGTCAAAATACCGAAGAAAGGCGATCTCAGCAAGTGTGATAACTACAGGGGCATCACTCTTCTCTCAATACCGGGGAAAGTCTTCAACAGGATATTGTTAAACAGGATTAAGGACTGTGTAGACGCCCAACTTCGTGACCAACAGGCAGGATTCCGTAAGGATAGGTCGTGTACAGACCAAATCGCTACTCTACGGATCATTGTGGAACAATCAATTGAATGGAATTCATCACTCTACATCAACTTCATTGACTACGGAAAAGCACTTGACAGCGTGGACAGAACAACACTATGGAAGCTTCTTCGATACTACGGCGTGCCTCAGAAGTTAGTCAATATCATATGGAATTCATATGATGGATTAAACTGCAAAATTGTGCATGGAGGACAATTGACAGACTCGTTCGAGGTAAAGACCGGTGTCAGGCAAGGTTGTTTACTCTCACCCTTTCTCTTTCTCCTGGTGATCGACTGGATCATGAAGACGTCAACATCTGAAGGGAAGCACGGGATACAATGGACATCTAGGATGCAGAT